TTTAATGGCGACTTATTTAACGGTTGGCTGACTAATAACTAAATAATTAACTGTACTAATGATGAACACCAGCTTTTAAGCTCCAGTTTTAGTTCCTTCTCTAGTTTTCCTTCACAGAACTTTTAAGAAATTAATTTATTCAACAGCAGCAACAAAAATAAAAGCTGTTTTTATTGACTAGTTTTAACCACGTCGACCTAAATTTGATTTAAAATGAATTACACACAATTACACTGATTAATATTTTAATGTCAACCCAACTTCAGTAGTTTATCTTAATCAGTAAATTAGATTTTTACTTTTTAATTTGTCTGAAAAGCACAAAACACATTCCAGCGACCTGATGTCAGTTTGTCTGTCTGCTGGATGTTTAATGATTTAGATAAAACTTAAAAATTTCAAACATTATTTTGATGGCTTTGGTTGATATCGTACATAATGACTCTGCATCAACCTGTTTCTGTGTATAATATAATATAATAATAATATAATATCATACATTGTGTTTGCAAATGCAGAAAGGCAGTTCATAAAGATAAATAACATAAAATAAAAAAGCTAATTAAAGGTAGTTTTGTGGTTGAGTGAGTTCATTTCTTCAAAGCACATAAAAAAACAAAAAATAAAAACAGAGAAGGAAATTGAATCAGAGTGAGTTAATATTTAAAATGTTTTCAAACTATAAACTTGTGTTTCTGCTGCCAATCAATAAATAAGTAAATTATTATAATTAAATTAGCATTAAAAAATAAAATTACATCAAATTAATGTCAGATTTGCATCAATTATTTTTTGGCTTTTCAAATTAAACAAATTTAATTTAAAATATTGATGCAAACTGTTGTGTTGATTTTTTTAGCTCATTATTTTATTATATTTTGATTTATATTATTATTATTTTAGCTTTGTCATTTTTAAAAATTACTAATAATAAAACAAAACGGATCTGAAGCGCTGACGTCAGTCTGATGCTCAGCTCGTCTGCACTTATTCACTTTTTGGGCGACTAATTGATGTGTGTTTTGTTTTAAACCACAGTGATGAAGCATCGAAGCCGATTTCAGACGGAAACAGAATTAGTAATGTAATCCTGATGATCTTGTCTTATCGCCGTGTATAAATGTTGGC